AGTCTATAGAATTAAAATAAAAAAATTATCTTTATTGAATTTGAATAGCTGAAAGTTAAAAAAAAAATTTAACCGCAGCTTCTTTTTTATAGACGTCTAAACTTTGAACGAGGATTACTCGGCACTTACCTGATCAAATTTGATCAAAATCTTTTTATTTTAATTATACAAATATATAAAATTAAAATAAAAAAATTTTGATCAAGTAGGTGCCGAGTAATCTTCGTTCAAAGTTTAGACGTCTATAAAAAAGAAGCTGCGGCTAAATTTTTTTAAACTTTCAGCTATCCAGATTCGATAAATTTTTTCTTATTTTAATTTTATGAACTCAGAATTAAAATTCATTGTATTTGGATAGATAATTGTCGAGAAATCTTACAAAAAATTTTACACAACTTTTTTTCCGATATTCTAAAGTTTTTAAAGCTTTTAGCGAAGATTTCTCGATAACTATTTAACCAATTTCAATTAGTTTTTTTTTTCACCGAATTTGATCGAGTAGTTATTGAGAAATTATCGCTAGAGGTTTTTCGATTAATAGGATCATTTTTTATTGGCTATTTCCTTTTTAAGAGTTTGTATTACCGGCACAAATAAGTAAAGTCCCTTTCGGGATCTCTCTTTTAATTAGGGACATCGCATTTATCACATGATATTAATTTAAATTTGATTGGTTAGTCTAATAGGTGTGATCGCTAACCCACCCCGCGTCTGTATGTGATTTCTGACGCACCCCTTACATAGCTACAAATTTATGGATATAGTATATATTCAGAGACTAAGTAATATATAATGTAAGCTGGATATAAACCAAATTATAGGATAACTGAATGGATATCTATTTATAGGTCAAAAGAAAATATAAAATAGAATGTCTATCCGGATACAATTGCTGTTGTAAATATAGAATTTATTCAATTTCACTTTTAATCATCCCAATCATCGTCATCGTCATCTTCGTCTTCATCTAAATAAAAAAATTCCAAAAAAATAGATTTATATATTGTTGGAAAACAAATATACATATGAAATAAATACTGACCAGAATCACCGTGGATTGCTGCTCCACGATTCAAAAGTGCATTTGCTAACGCCGAGGCAAGATCATTTCCGCCACCGGTTGGGCTCTGAGGCTCTTCTGATATAGTTGACTGACGAGTTGGCTCCCCAACCTAATAAAAAGAAAGGATTGTTAAAGTGTATCAAACAAAATACGTATATATGATTCAAATTTTCAACACCCACAGGTTTAAGTCCAGCTTTAGAAGCACCACCCACATTACGAATTTCTGCTAGCAAATTCGCACGGCCATTCGTTATTGGTGGCGTGGAAGTAGCATTGCTTATTGGAGGAGGAGGAGGAGGGGGGGCACCACCAGAAGTAGGTGGTGGCGGTGGACCTCTGGAAGCAGGCGGTGGTGGCGGCGGAGGCGGAACACCATCCGAAGTAGACGGCGGAGGTGGCGGCGGTGGTGGCGGCGCTGCAACTGATGTTGGTTGACGTGGTGGAACATGGGTTTGCACCCTGGCAGGCGGTAACGGTGGAGGTTCATTCTGTGTCGTCGGAGGACGAACCGGTGGTGGCGGTGGTGGCGGTGCAGCCTGTACTGGAGGTGGCTGTACAGTTTTATGTACTGAAGGTGGTGGCGGTGGAGGTGTAACTTGAACCGGAGGTGTCTGCGCAGTTTTCTTTACACTTGGAACGGATGGTTGCGGGGTTTTATTTGTACTTGAAATTGGTGTGGTTTTATTTACACTTGGAAGCGGAGGCGGATGTACTGGTTTATTTATGCTCGAAACTGGAGGCGGTTGTGCAGTCTTATTCACGCTCGAAACTGGAGGCGGTTGTACAGCCTTATTCACGCTCAAAACTGGAAGTGGAGGCGGTGGCGGATGTGATGTTGCTTTAAGAGTTGTTGGAAGAATGACCTGCTTTGGAGATGGTGGAGGACTAGAATGTTTTGAAGATCCGTTATTATTCGATTGATTGCTGACCACCGAGCGTCGAACTGGTGGTGGAGGTGGCGGTGATTTTGCCTTGGGTTTATCAGATAGAGAAGATCCAGGACGTCGACTTGGTGGAGGTGGTGGTGTTCTTTTTGTAACACCAGATGCTGATTTGCCAGTTGTCGTTTTGGCAGGTTTACTTGCTTTTTTAATTCCACCATTTTCATCAACATATTGCATAATAAAATCGGCATTTTGCGTAATTAATTCCTAACAAAAAAATATAAATATATAAATAATACTGTTTTAGGAAATACGCTAAAACCTTTCGGTATTCTTAATTTATCAAATCAAATCATAACACTACAAGGATTTAGCGCATCTCTACATTAGGATAAGGCATCGGTGACTAATTGAATATAATATATTCACCTGACTGATACCCAATTCACCTAGTTGATCGAATAGATTTTTCCATGAAGGATCGATATTTTGTACCTATGGAAATCAAGATTTAGTCGTTATTTTGTTTCATTCGCAAATTATCGAATAAAAACTATACGCACATCAAACCCTGTATCAGGATTAAAACCTATATGTCCGAGGTGCCTTAAGGAAATAGATCATTATTCTTAGCACATATGTCCTTGACTAATAAGCATTAAATAAAATCATTTGAAATATTAACCTAAAATCAGTTGGTTTGCTGATTGATGCCTTGTCTATTTTACCCTTCTTGCCATTTTTCTTGGTACCAAATAATCCGCCACTTTTAGAATTCTTTTGGTTTTTTTTAGCTATTTAAATTATTACATATATCAGTAAAATCAATGTTATTTACAAAATTGATAAGTGTATGCATTTAAAATAATTGTAACCCTTACCACTAAGCTTCTCTCTGTTTATAACTTTTTTGTAAAAGTTTTTGGCCTCATTCTCATTGGCAAATGAGAATGCAACAAAGTAGTCCTATCGATAATACGAATGGATTGATATGAAAATAATGTTTAACCATAAAAAGATTTTAAATAAATTAAAATAACCAAGATCTTACATCAGTGCAAAAGGTGTGAAAAAATGGGCACTCTTGGTTGTATTTAAAGTCTTTATATAGTTCTTGTTCCCATAAAATACCTTGATCGTTCTATAAAAGTAAATTCCATATATTTTATATTATTATAAAGTTTGATTCGAAGGAGCAGAAATAAATTTAACAAACCATCAAATCCACTAAACGAAAAAAAAAGGAATTCTTCTCTTGATCTTTGACAAAGGCTACAGCACCCATAAGGTTGCTGTAAGTCCACGTATCTGGGTTCGGATGTGCAACATAAAGCCGAACTACAGTTGCAGTGAGGATTTTCTAATGTAAAAGACGTAATCAATATAATAATCAGTATAATTTCACAGGGCTTGTTAATTACGTGGAAAAAAGAACATACATTTGTGGAGGTCCTTATGGCTCTTTTTATTGCAGCTTTATCTTCAACATTTAAAGAAGAAACGGAAGGCATAGTTTTGATAGTTTTTTTTATTTCAGCAGAAGTTTTTAAAAATGGTCGGGTATTAATATAAAATATTAGTACACCAAGCCTACACCAAGCCACAGCCAAACTACTGGCTACGTATTCCGAAACAGTAATCTATACTTGGCAATTAATCTATAATTATCGTTATAATTACGTACGTACTGCGTAAAATACCAAATTCTTAAGAAATTTGCTTTTATAAATTAATACGTAGCGATAGTTGAAACAAATTGCACATCAGACTTAAGCATTTCCATTGTTTTAACAATGAAAATCTCGCTGTGGGCCGTAGTACGTACGTACGTACGTACGTAATACGTATCAGATATCGTAAAACTGGCTGTTATTATATACTTAGACTATTTTTTATATATAGTTATGTTGATCATTTGATTTGGTTATATTTCAAATCTTGTTAAATTTGTAGAAATGACATCTGATACGTACGTATACGTATTAACATAATTTAATAATGAATAAAGTTCATATCAGTTAATATGCCAATCCGATTGATTGACTTTATTTAAAAAAAAAAAAAAAAAAGAAAAAAAAAGGAAAAAAAAAAAAAGAAAAAAAAACTTCAAGAATGTACACATAAATACATGGTAAATTTCAGAATAATATGTAGACAATACAAAAGATTCAAATGTGCTAAATATAGTCGCCCAACCTCGTGCTATCCCAGGTTATCTAAAACATGGTTATGAAATAATTTAAACAATATAAATGTACATCGGAAATTGATTATGAATTACCAATAGAAATTATCAATTCAATACAAAAAATTGATCTATCAATCAGTCATATTGATTTCTTAAAAAATTTTCATAATCTTCTCGCACGCACTCTCCTCCCTTGCGGGGATCGAACGTAAACTTATAAAAGCTTCCGTCCGCACAAATCACTGAATCAAAGATATACAGACATTACATAACTTGTATGTTAAATAACGGAATTAGATAATCTTATTTACCAATTACAGAATTTCTTTCTTGTCCGAATCCACAGATGCATCGACAGTCTGCCATTACTTTAAAATGTGCAAATGACCATTCGGAAGAGAAATATTTTGGAAGCAAGTCTTTCATGAAAGATAAACTTTAAAGATAATACATATTGGTATTAAATTTTTACTCCCATAATTATGTTTATATAATTGATAAAATAGATTAGCTACCTAGATTGTCTGTTACCACTCGGTGGTGGGACCGTGTTGCTGTAATGAAATGAAACAAGTGCAAAATTAAATCTGAATATTAGAACAAATGTTAATAAAAAACACATATTTACTTTACAACGACCTCGCCATAGTAGGCAGCTCCGTTATTCGGAGAGTGATTAACACCATTTCCGAGAATGACGTCCAGATTAAAGATGTGTACCGTTCCTTTGTCAGAAGAAACACACAATCGCGTCGAATCATGGTTGAATGCGATGCTATTAATTATAATAATGTGTTATTAGATGTCAGATAATCACAACAGATAATTTATATTTGGGTTGAGTCAGTAAAATCAAGCAAATTTTTTAAGTAAATTTTTTTAAACTTTAAACAACAATAACTCAACAACAACTTAATCAAATTTAATAAAAATTTTTTTAAAATAAATTCTACAAACTTATAGAATTTTATTGAAAAAAATTTTATTAAATTTGATCAAGTTTTGATTAAGTTATTGGTGTATAAAGTTTTAAAAAAATTTCAATAAAAACAAATTGATTGATTTCTACTGAATCCCCCATTTAATGAATACCTATAAATCTCAGCACGATCTACACCACGCCGTAATTCAT